ACAAAAATGCTAGATATGATTTTTTCGGACCCAACTTTTAAACAATATAAATTTTAGGATCACGCCAGAAAATTTCCGGTCCACCTTCGAAAATAATTACCCATATACTATATTTTTTTTAAAATACTTACTAATTAGATATGGTTTCAACAATAAATCGATTTAATTTAACAATAAATTGATTTTCTTCTTGACCACAATTCATTAATTTATCGATTTCTTCTTCCCATTGTTGTTCATTCAATTTCTATAAATAAAATAAAATAATTTAATTAATATTTATTTATATAAAATTATTAAATTAATTAAGTTACCCGTGAAAAAAATTTAATCAAATATTCTTCAGCTTCTTTTGGAAAAATTTTATTAATCGAATCAAAAGTATTATTTAATATAATATCAAATGTTTCTTGTGTTAAATACATAAGAACAAATTCGGAAGCTGGAGTTAAATCCATTATTTCATTTTCTGTTAAGATATTCTTCACGTCGCGCTGATAAATTCCAAAATTGGCTAAGACTGTACCAAATTCTTGTGAATCAATTTCAGATTCGTCCAAAATATTTTTGACATTAATATCATATTCAACATTTTTTGTCTACAATATAAATAAAAAAATTTAATATAAAATTTTATATTAAAAAATACAAATATATATTTTTTATACCTCCTCATTTTCAATGACTTCAACATTTTCTATTTGTGGTTGTTCAGAGAATATAGTAGAATCAATAAATCGACATCTTTCAACAGATGGCAAATTAGCATTTTGTTGGAAAAATTTCTCGTACATTTTTTTACAGTATTTGTTTATTATCATTCCTTCATGGGTTTCACAAATATTTTGTAATTCGATACAAAAACCACAAATAGATCCTGGATAATTTTTAGTACAATTTTGTGCGATAAATTCCACAGATCGATTCCACTTGTAATACACTTCAGACCATGGTAAAATTGGATCATCATTTTTTAGACAAAAACTTAGATAATGCCTTAATTGCCAATGTTGTGCTTCAACTTCCTTAAAATAGAGATGAGGTACATTTTCCGATAAAGGTACTTTAAAATCCAAAAATTTGTTGGATCTAAGAACTGCAGTCATAGTTTATAACCTTCGTTTGTTTGTTTTTTAACACTTTATATATCTAAATATCGTGTTACATATGTCATTCATTTAATATAGTAGTCATCGGGTTATAGTGAACAATGATTTTTTTTCACCCGAAATAAAATATATGGGGTGTTTTCTTACCTCATGTATGCAACACCCCTACGGCATTCATGCGTCACCCATGCAGCACTCGTGTAGATGAATTTGTAGTGAAATTTGCATACTTATTATGTTTTGAGTAATTTTATACCAGTGTATATTTTGGAAATCGAAAATCAAAAGTTACGATCAACAATAAAGTCACATGTTTGCATTTATATAGGAGCTTTCATGATCAGGAAATTTCACACAAATTCGCCTGCATGTAGTGATTGAAGTCGATCAGCTAACGGTTGACTGACCGAGTTATTGACTAAGCTGTCAACTGAGTCGACTTAGTCATTCAAGGGGTATGCAGTACATATATATTTTTTAATTGGATAAAAAAAATACATGCTTTTATCTATATGAATTCATTTTTTGTCGATTTTTTTATATCTTTCTGAAAAACTATAGAAATATTTTATTATGAAATAAAAAAAATTTTTTTTCATTATCTTTTATGAAGCTTTAGAAATAATGAAATGCAAAATTCTTTTCCTTTAATTTATACAGTATGGGACAAAAAAACTTGTTTTTTTTATTGTTTTTAAGTTTTTTTGTTATTAAATTTATTATTAATTTTTTATTAAAAAAATCATTTTAAATTTATTATAAAAAATCATTAATAAAAAATTATTAAACTTATTTTAATATATAAATTTGTTAATTAAAAACTAATTAAATATAAAATTGAGTTTTATAAATTTTTTATAAATTAAAAAAAATTTATTAAATAGTAATATATTTTAAAATTTAATAAAATTTATATTAAAACTATAGTAAAACTAGTTTTTTAAAAATTTTAAATTTTTTAAAAAAAAAATTTACAAAATAAATATATATAAAATTTTAATAAAACAATTTAAATATAATAAAAAACATTTTATAATGTTTTCTGTCTATAAATTATATATAAATATTAGTCAAAAATTATTTTAAATTCTTTCCACTAATCCGTTTACCAATCCAAAAAATAAACATTCTCAAAAGATTTTATATCTTTTTAATAATAAAGTCTATACACTTTCCTTAATAACACTGGTTCCCTAACCAGCAGAGCGAGCAGCAGCTACCGCTTGTTTTCTTTTTCTTTTTCAAATACCTTTTTGCATATTTTTACAACTAAATACAAAAAATATACCCAAAAGGTTTATAGCAATAACACTTTTTTAGAAAGAAAACTGATAAGAAAAAGTACTCTCCAAAAATCTTCAGAAGGTTCAAAAGTCTAGAGAAATAAAGAAAAAGAAGCCTTTAGCTTTTATATCATCTTTCTGACTTCTTACTTCTTTTCTTTCAAGCATATTTTCTTTTTTCTGATTTTTCTGGAGAATTTTGCTTACCTCAATTTGATCCTGAATTTTTAATTATATCGGACTTTCCTGCAAGATAATTGATCAAGGTCACGGATTGATTGATCACATCAGCTATAGAAAAAATAAACAAGATACATCTTCTCACGTGTTTCAAATCATATAATACCAAATTAATAATATGATTAGTTCTGAAAAGAGTTGAATGATTTTTTAATTGAAGGAATAGTAAGGAAGTTCTAAGTAAAGGTTGAAGTTATAAGTGGAGGAAGAACAATTATTTTTTTGTTTTTATCTTTTATTTGTTCCTTTTCTTTTTCTATTCTACCTAAAGGACTGAAAGTAACTACAAGATTCAAATTCTATCTCAATCTGGCAACAAGTTGAAGCATCAATGTCTATTCTGAAAATGGTTGAAGAAAAGGATCTTGAAACTATCCACTAGTTGAGTGAAGCAATAATTCCAGAAAGACATGGCTTGAAAGAGAAATTAATAATAGAAAACCAATATCCTTTCTGATCAGAAGTTTTCAAATGTAAAGTTCAAAAAATACTCTCCAGAAAGTGCTTTTAAATATTCTTGGATATTGTCTACTTCAATGGAAATTAAACAGTATAACTGATCACAAATGATAACAAGTGAGTATTTATAAGGGGTCTGGATTTTGTCCACTAAGATACCATTTCAATAATATATAGAATAGATGATAGCTTTTATTTTATTTTATTTTTTTTCCCTCAATCAGGTTGGTGTCGTTTATTTATTAAATCAAAATGAACCATTACAAATATAAATTGTATG